ACGCGATTTCGTTGAGATAAAAGTGTTTTAGGATCAGCATTATCTTCTACTGTGCGAACACCACAGATTAAGTAGATGAGTAAATCATCATCCAAGACGACAGACAATAAATCTCTAACGTTTGTGAAAATTAAATGAATCAACATTATTAGTGTGATAGATTTAATCTTTGCAAAGATTTCGTGCAAATAATAGACACAATTAAAATATAGACACGCAAAAGAATTAAAAACTACAAACAACATTTGTAATACTGTAGTGTTCGTTCGTCTTTCTAACTTATACATATATTTAACAATTTCCTGAAAGCTTTCGAAGTTGCTTCTCCTTCCTACGTTTGTTACATTATTGTTACTGTATAAAAGATGCCAACAGCTTTTCTGCTGATATCGCACGCAAGAAACTGCATCACGAACGATCGTATTCAAACGATTCAAAAATCAGCAAGTCAAAATATCGCTTCTATGTTTAATCAAAATGCTACTTTCAACAACTTTTACATTCCGAATACATTTTGCCGGAGATTCTCGGGATCCCCTTTGACGAGGTCTTAACAACACAAAATTCGTTGATTCTAACTTTGTTACATACAAAGTTACGTACAAATATCTTTAAGTTCGCTAATAGCACACATTGCGCAAGAGATTAATAGACTTGTAATATTGAGGACTATCTTCTCTCGTTCTGCTCTATATCCATTTAAGTAATGCCATTTAAGTAGCCTCACTGATAAGCGCACATATAACAAGAAAGAAAGCGACTTCGCTCGTACAATCGTATCGACAATGATCACTCTTTTGTACTGTTTCCGTCGAGAATCCAATATAATTGTATATATAGTATCGAAACGGTACGTACAAAATATTGCGGTATAAAAGGGAGATGCAGGACAAATCTCTTCTCTACACGCGAGCACGTATGCGAGATACACCATGCATTTGTAATGTGAGACACACAAGTTTCATTCCTCGTGCAATCGTCGTCGCATGGTCTCGCGGATGTTGTCCAACAATATCGAACACCCTGCGAGATCGATGCGAACTTTATTATTTTCATAGACTTTCCGACAACGTTATTGTTTCAAGACGTGGTCACGTGTGGCCGATCGAAAAACCAATAGCTTAAAGCTAATATATATATATATATATATATATATAT